TGATGATGACTCTATATCATTTCACTTCAAGTGTTTACAATTCAGCGAACATATAGAACTGGTAAAATTTACACTTGGTTGAATCTCGTTCTAAGACTCTTGAGCAACGAATTGTGCAACAACCAACAACCGACAACAACCAACAACCAACGAACGGACGGACAATACGAATGAAAATTTCAATACTTACAGGATCGGATGATAATCCTCGTCTTTCGCAAAGTATATTAACATAAACAGAAGAAGGACCGATGATACCTTCTTTATCTAATTGTCTAACGAGTGTTAAATTTTTCGATCCTTTTGCTATTTTTACCGGACTGTCGGGCCTTTGAAGTTTTAACGTTATATCTCCAAATTGTTCAGATGGATTACCAAACACTTTAAGAACACCTACAAAACGCAAAATTTCAAAAACATATCAGAATCTCGCGATAATCCGCGTTAAAAATAATCAACGATCGATTTATCGAAAACTACGATATATCGAATCTCTCGAATCTTTATTATTGTGTAATAAATTATTGTAATTCAATCAATTCTTATTATTATTATTATTATTTTAAATGAGGATGTACGGATGAAAGATTTACATCAATGAATGGATTACAAATCTATGGACGATAATAATAATAATAATAATAATAATAATAATAATAAAACAATAAGAATCAATTTTTAATTTGAATGAGAAAGAGAAAAACGTTTCGTTGTTTGTTTGTTTGTTTGTTTGTTTCATTCATTCATTCATTACGTAATTAATTAAATTTAAATAAAATAATAAAAAAAAAAATTGATTCGAGATATCGATCGATCGATAGTCGTATCGATAAAATTTTCTTTTTCTGTTCGCGAGGGAAAGTTTATTAAAAAAAAAAAAAAAACGAGAATCGATGAGATTTACCCTCGAGTTATTTATAATAATTTAATTTTTATAAATCGATCGAGTTCGATTCGAGTTTTTTTTTATCGTTCAATATCAATAAATAAATACCTATTATTGAATTAACTGGAAGACTTTCGCTAACGAAAAAACTTTCCGATGATCCGCCATTTTCTAAAAAACATCTATTATCCGATTTTGTTAAATGTAAAAATGTTATCATCATTACAAAATGGTTTAAAATCATTTTCGACGTCCAACATTGTTTAATTCTGGAATTAAAAAAAAAAAAAAAAAAAAAAAAGGTATTATCGTACCTGAAAAAAAAAAGGGAAAATGGGGAAAAAATGGGATAAAAATATGGAGAAAGTATTTTTTTAAAAATGAATTGATAAGGTTTATCAGGTTCATGATTTTTTTTTTTTGTAAAAATTGATAAATGTGATAGATATGTGTGAAAGGGTTTCACCAAACCTACCTGACCTTTAACCTTTGTACAAAGTTCACTTTCGTGACAGTTTTTTTAACGTTTTGTTTTTGTTTCTTTTCGAAAATATCCAGGAATCAAATCGAAGGAATACAAAATAAATAAATTTTCGAAATTAATTAAATAACTCGAAAATCAAGTTTTTTTTTTTTTACTAGCAGACGAAACTTGACTAAAATTTTTCTCAGGTTTAGTAATAAAAACAAGAAAAATAAAATAAAATTATTAATTATAAAAAAAATCGAATATTGATTTGATTTAAGAGAAAGGTATATATTATATTGTATCAGGTACGGTTTATACCTGAATATAAAAAAATAAAAAGTATTATTATTATTATTTAAAACAAAAATCGCTCTAATAAGTCCTTGAAAAAAAAAAAAAAAAAAAAATTCAACGGAGCAAAACAAAAAAAAAAAAAGGAAAAAGCAACCGAGCAACACAAAATCAACGAAGAATAACGAAAAAAAAATGGAGCGGATGTCCATCAAAAGGTCCAAACCTAAATTTTTCTTGAATATTCGTCATACAATTCTGGAATATTCGTCATTTCATTCTGGAACATTCGCCATATTTATCCATTTTTTTTTAGTTTTATATTTTCGATCACGATTAAAACATTAATAAGTGAAAGTAGAAAACAAAAAAAAAAAAAAAAATGGAACTTTTACTTTTT